ATATGACTTGTTTGAGCTTTTTCGACTTTTTCACAAAAATAACAAATAGTCAAGAAGAGATTACAACATTTTTGCAGCGGCTGACAGATTTCATAATTTTCTTTGACAGGTGACAATTAAACCATAGACAATTGCAATATGAAAAACACACTTTTCCAATATTTTTGTTTGCCATGAGATTCTGGTAGACCTATATCAAGACAAGTGTTGGGTGATTGTTGTTGATGTTTGGGACTTTGCTGTTTGCGGTGTTTTTGACAAACAGCCAGCGTGTGGAAGGCCCTTAAGGTCATAGCAGACTTATCAACTCGGAAAGGGATCAACACCGTATCGCCTTTCGCTCGTTGTCAACCGCGAGGCGAGGCGTTTACGTTACGGTGCGGATAAGTGTGCGTTGCAGTATGGAGTTTCATACAAAGAATACTGACCGCCTCGAGTTGATACGGTTACGATCCCTTTCCGGGTTGATAAGTGTGCTACGTGCTTAATACAGCATGTACAATTCCAAATCCCAACGTATTGTAAGTGGGGGAAAAAACTCAGTCACCTTTGTCAGCCTCTTTTTCAATCAAATACAGCAATTTATAACTTACATAACGTATCATATCGTTTATTGTAATAAAAGTAACTACCACAGGATCACAGATCACAGAAACTAAAGGGAGATATGACAAGGGGGCGTGGCCGGTGTCGCAGCAATATGCCCAAAAACAGAACACCTTGCTCACGACAGCAATGATGACAGCAGCGACGTCATAATGTAAATATACATTGCTTGCGTAGTATTAAAGATTATTCGAACGTTGAGTACTGTACCACTAGCACGAAAAACTTTCGAGTTCGTATCGTTTGCGTATTCAAATCGCCATCGAGAAATTTAGTATGAAAAATTAAACAGCGCCCCTGAAGAGAAATAAACAACTAGCACGAAAAACTTTCGATTTTCTGTCGTATCGAGTACAAATAGTTGACGTGGCGTAAAATGGACTTAGTATGCTGATACCGCAGTGGATAATGAGCACATATTTTGATTACTTTGTGTGTGTGAATTTCTAATGCGACACTGAGTTTCGAACTCAGCGCATTAGTTGGCATCTCTCTACATCTCTATGCGCAGGAACCTTCTCAGTTAAAACTTTCGATTTTCTTTTGTGGTAGACATATTTTATGGTCCTTGTAAATCTTGTAGTTAGCCAATGTTTTAACTAAAGGCAGTATAAACTTACGCCATAGTCAACTAAGGCTTTCATAAGATATCTAGCGAGACAAAGTTTCGATTTAGATGTAACTAGCAATTTACACTATTGTTAAAAGGTTATGTAAGAAGTAAAGTTTATTTATAAAGATAGGTTTTGTAAGACTTTATAATTCAGTGTACGAATAGGCAATTCATAATTTAGGTAGGTACCTAGATATGTCATAGTTTCTATACCACACAAAAAAATAATTAATACACAAAAAGAGACGGCACAATTTAGGCGGTCTTATTTCTATTAAGCGATATCTTCCAGGCGATTGTTGTTATCTTACTAATATTATAAATGCGAAAAACTGGATGTCTGGATGTTTGTTGCTCTTTCACGCAAAAACTACTGAACGGTTTTTTATGTAACGTTACAGTATTATTGTTTATAACCCTGATTCAGTATCTTGTGTATGTACTATCGCCAACAGTGTTAACTGCCCATTGAAAGTCATGTCATCTCGTTCTATTGCAAAGAATCGCCATTTGATTAGAGCGAGAGCAAAAACGGAAATGGATAGTTAACAGTGTGGGCGTGTGTACATTTAAATATATTTTTCTATTTTGTAAATTATGTGATACTGAATTATTTTTAAATACTTACGAGTACTTTTCTCATTTAGGTACTATGCAATAGAAAGAGGCCAATTACGTTATAGGGGCACTATTAAAAATCTAGATACAAAAAAACAGCCAGACTAATACAAGTATTCACAAACGATACTTGCTTAAGTGAAGCAGCAAATCGAACGCACAGCGTTGAATAGAGCTCTGTTATTGTTTCGTGTGTCACCCTGTGCGTCCACGCGCACTGTGAGACCTCATAGTAATGTTTGTGAAGGCGTTAGACTGTCCATTTTGAACCTAACTCTAGTCACCCTCTGCGTCCACGCGCACTGTGAGACCTCATAGTAATGTTTGTAAATGCGTTAGACTATCCATTTTAAACCTGACTCTAGCTCTTATGTAACAACAAGTTAGGTTAGTGGGTCACAAGAAAATGCCTAGAACGGAAAGTTACTAAACACTACTATCTTGTTTAAGGTACGTTTAACGAGTATTACTCAACGACATTTAATTAAGTAAGATTCTCACAATTTTCGCAGTTTAAAGTTTCAAATATGTCTGCCATAGTGACTGAGTTTCTTGCGCTGCTTCTTTTCAGCACTGGCCCACTTGATTGTTCTGAAGCAGTGGTACGGTAAATGAAAAAAACCTGGTCTTATGTAACGTTTGTCTGTGGTCTTAGTGGAGACAACCTGTCTCAAACTCAGAGGTTCTGAAATCGATTCCCAATCGGTTTTGTTAATGGTAGAGCTTGTTCTAAGTCCGCCTGTCTAGCAACAACCAATAATAAATCTGTAGAGAGGTCAATTCTGTACATGAAATATATTTTCAAAATAACTATCAGGGGTGATTAGTGATCGATACTGATGCCAAAAATGCAATCAGTAAAATTTTTGTCTGTCTGTCTGTCTGTTTATCTGTCTGTCTGTCTGTATGTTCCTTATAGAAACAAAAACTACTCGATGGATTTTAACGAAACTTGGTACAATTATTCTTCATACTCCTGGGCAGGTTATAGTATACTTAGGAATTCCCACGGGAACGGGAATTAGCGGGAAAATCCTTTTGTATGAAAAACCTAAACTGCTTAAGTAAGACGCTTGAAATTTGGCATGCAGGTACCTTAGTAAACTTAAAGCTTAGTTACAACAGGATATTGCAAAATTTCCACGGGAACGGGAGTTAGCGGGAAAAAACATTTGTATGAAAAAATCTAAACCGCGTAAAATAGATGAAGAGGGTAAAACGGGATCCACGCGTACGAAGTCGCAGGCGGCCGCTAGTCTTACCTAAGTCTGCTGGCATGACAACTATTTTAATAGCATTGTTATGTTCCGTTATGTTCCGCAATCGTAATCATTTTGACAGTTTATAACGTACCTACGATAAAGTAAGTCAAGTAAACAAAGCGTTTGACCAGGCCTGTTCATCTCCGCGAGTTTACATCGAAAACAAAACACGCACGATGGCCCACCTACAGGATACTATTCGACAAGGCCTCACATACGAGCAAACATTGACTCACGCACGCATATTCTTGTTTATGATGGAAGAAAATAAAGAAAATGGTGTACTAAATCAACTAAATACTGTGCAGTATTTAACTGCCTAAATAATAATAAAAACACAGAATGTAATTTTTTAAGTTGCCTCAATACACTGAGAGGTAAATAAGTAGTTAATATTATTCATGATAAATCATGTATTTCCTCCGCCATTTGGCACCTCACGTCACATCATTTTACCGAAGTCAGCCCTATAGATTCGGCGCAGCGCCGATCACTGACGATTGTCAACAAAATGGTGCTTGACTCTTGAGACAGCCTAAATTACACCATATTGTTAATGACATTGAGCATACATTTTTTTAAATACCTTCGCGAAGTAAAACTTCTGTACGTAGTACTTATTATTATTCTGTGGTTTGACAGAATAATCGTACGTTATGAACTGTCAAATGATAACGATTGCTTTACACAATTCCACCTCAGTAGGCCTAAGATGCGCGCCGTGATAACTTTTATCGACGTCAATTTGTATCCCTTTCAGACCTGAAATTTTTTTTCCACAAAATTTATGTTTTTTCGGATTTTATGTAACATTTGGTCCATAAGGAAGACAAGAAAAATAATATAAAAATTTTCCGACTTTCCAATTTTTCAGAAAAGTACCCGCACTATCGTGCGTGTTAGGACTAAGTGCACTATACGCACGCTCGTGCATAATTAATAAATTAGAGGAAATCCATAAGAAAAGACTCACTTTTTTGGATATGATTGTTAAAAATTAATAATAATCAGCTTTTACTTGAATAAAACCATTCCAACTCATGACCATTGAAGTGTTATGAGCTCCTGGTGAAACAATTGGAGATTGTCATAACAAATGTGTTGTATTTCCATTTCAAGAGACCCAAGTCATCAAACACGAATTATTCTGAANGTCTGAAAGGGGTATGGGAAAAATCGATAAAATAGCGTGAAATACAGGCTATCGCTTTAGAATTAGATTTTAAATCGGAAATAATTCCTACAAAAGGTCTTATTTAATGCAGGATTAAATGGCCTTCAACCGTCAGGAAGACCACTTTTCGATAGGGTAAGTCCTTTACGCGGTATAACCGGAAAACCGAAAAAGCGCCCCTTTCGGGGGCCCCCACCACTTAAGCACAGCTCCGTCGAAGTCGAAAACCTAGGAGAGTCTTAATGGGCAACCAATGAAGCCATTAAAGCACTAAAATCTTTAGTAGGAATTATTTCCGATTTAATTCATTTTTGTGTTTAATTCTACTGGCCTATTTAGTTAAGATTCAGGCCCAGAGTTGGGTACAAAATGGTCAAAAAGTCTTATTTATCAATTCATTAGAATAGAATAACTTAATATTTTTAAAACGTTTAGTTTTAGTCGGCCGTTTGGTGTAGTGGTTCGAAACGGACTACTATTCCGGAGGTAGCGGGTTCGATTCCCGCACAGTACAAACATTTGTGTGCATGAACATATTTGTTTGTATTGGACTGGGTGTTTCTATGTATAAAAAGTATGTATTTACAAAAAAAAAAGTATTTAAGTATGTTTATATCCGTTGTCTAGTACCCATAGTACAAGCTTTGCTTAGTTAGAAGCGCAGGGACATTTTACACTGCGCAGTGTAAAATGACCAAGCATATTTATTTATTTATTTAAAACTCACCTCTCCCTGGAATAACTCTTCCAGCCTCTGTTTCGGGGTCTTCCCTTTCTTCGGTCGCACCAAGAGGTAGATCTGGCGGATTTCTGTGCATTTTCTGTAAGCATCAAAAATAATAAAGTCAATTTAGTAGACAAAACAAAGGTTAAGTTACTAGGAACATTTCTATTCATAGAGATAAAAAATGAGAAGTTAAACTGTCATTGGACCCGCAACGAAATTAATCAGAAGAACATAGGAGTTCGAAGTTGTGTGTGTTGTGTTCGAAAGTTTAGCTAGTCTCACCTTAGTAGCTTCTCTATCAGCACCTTCCCCATGAAGCCAGTGCCTCCAGTGACGTACACTGAGAGGCTTGCGTAGGTGGCCGCTGTCCTGTCACTCTTTCATGCACTGCAATATGTATTCTAACATAAAAGACTCTGGGTCTATTCTTTACCTAATGAGTAAGTCAAATTAGGTAGGGTTAAATATTGGGACGTGTAAAAGTGCTTTTTTAAAGCCTATTTGCAAAAATAAATGAATTTTATGAATTTTTATTTAAAACCTGAGAAGAAACTTCTCTATGAGCACCTAAAAGCCTGAAATACCTAAGGTTCTAGCTTATAATAATCCACTGCAATTTAGATCCTAGCATGAAAGAGCTAGGGTTCATTCTTACCTGACTATTTTCTTTATAGGGCTCACCGAGCGACCTGAAGAGTCAACCATACTGTTCACTGCAATTTAGATCCTAGTCTTAAATACCTAGGGTTCATTCTTACCTCAGCAGCTTCTCTCTAAAGCACCTTTTCATGATCTAGTGATGATCACAGACAGTCCTAAGAAAGAAGTCCTAAGAAGGTGGCAAATACTATCCTATAGCTCTAGCATTCACTGCAATTTAGATTCTAATGTATACTCCTTAAAGTCTATTCTTACCTGAGCAGCTTCTCTATGAGCACCTTTCCCATGAAGCCAGTGCCTCCAGTGACGAACACTGAGAGGCCTGCGTAGGTGGCCGCTATCCGGTCCGTCATCGCGTCCACCTCGCTCGCTGAGTAACCCTCGGACGACATGTCGAAGGTTCTGTGGGCAAAAAGAAAGATTAATTAGTTTTTTATTTAATTAAACCATAACTATATCACCTCGATCTTTTCGCGACAAGGAAAAATGTCCGTGCTTTTAAGCGATTTTGTGAAAAATATTATTGGCAGGTAGTTGCTAAGTACCTGATGTTTAGTGAATAAATTGCGGAAACACATGTCTGTTGTATTGAGTAAGATAGGCCCCCTTAATTGATATTTATTGTCCGTGGTGGGTGCATAATTGTTTGTCACCTGTCATCCGCTTTGAAATGGAGGGAAGTCGAACCAATTTCGAACTCCTCCTAATGAGTAAAAGGTAATTATTTAATTTCGTGTAAATGAATCTTTTATAAACGCCTACTTATTATTTTAACGTAAACTGCTAATTACACCGGTCAACAAAAAAAAATTTTTTTTTTGCGCATGGATTTTACTTATTATATTCTGATTATCTAAGCAAATTTATATAAAAAAGTGCGATTACAAATCGAAAATATTTGCTTTTGAAGAAGTTAGCGATTTGAATTTTCCATCTTCATAGTAGAATGTCTCTAAAGACGCACGTCACATTCTCATTGGGATATATTTATAAATAATTATGGGGGCTTATTCGCAAGAACAAGGGGCACGCTTTCATCAAAATATAGTGGGATTTGAGAGACGACGTTACCAAGGCCAGTAAACTGAAAGCATGATAGGGTTAGATTTTTATGAGAAAAATCTTCTATGGAACATGACAGGAAATTAGAACTTTTCATTTTTAATAAATATTTGGACTCTATTTTAAATTTTCTCTTGTGAGAATGAATCTTAAATGGATGTTTGGTATGTTTTAATAATTAGAAAGAATTAAAGAAAGAAAGAAAAAATAATATTTGGCAACAAATTAAATCATCTCTATGTTCATGTTTCATACATTCATTGATATGAATTTTTCTATTTTTTACACATAAAAGCAAATTCAGAATTTTTTTTGTTGTTATTCTTATTTCTAGTTATCTATATATATAAAAGAAAGTCGTGTTAGTTACTCCACTTATAACTCAAGAACGGCTGAACCGATTTAGCTGAAAATTGTCAGGGTGGTAGTTTAGAGCCAGGAGAAGGACATAGGATACTTTTTATCCCGTTTGAAATTTAAAAAAAAGTCTGCTTATTTATTGCCATTAAGGCGGAACAAAGTTTGCCGGGTCAGCTAGTTAAAGCAATAAAAATAAGCTATGCATAACCCGTGCGCAAAAATGCTGTAGACAGTTGTTATTTATTCATAACTAAATATCTTATTATTAACATCATACTCAATATTATATTCACACAAAAATGTGCCTCTATGAAATGGAATGGAGAAGTTTCAATTTTTTTTTCTATTGATAATATAAGTAAAATCAATAATATTGGTGAAAGAATCATGAAAATATCTCTACAAATAAAGAAATTACAGAGCCCTAAAGAAGCGCAACAAATATTTCGCGCCAATTTTGAAAGATGACTTCACGCTAATAATTTGGAGTACAAACAGTCAATCACCCAGCTATTGACAGATCCAACTTTTTATAAATCTAGTAGTTTTAATTTTCCAGCCAGGGTCACCCAAGATTATTTCTTAGTAAAATTGTGTAACCTTTTTGACATATCCAAGACCTGGTCCTGGCCATAATATAAAAAGAAAAAGAAGACTTTGACATTATAGTGTCATTCTTGACAATACATTAGGGGTGGTATAGTTCCAAAATACTGGACTGTCCTATCGATGACATTGACAGTGGGGCGCCACCGTCAATACCGGATCGCTGGTTCCGATTTTTGCCATGTTGGAAACCATATAGTTGAACGATGGTAGCGCCCCCCTGTCATTGAGTTTGGTGGGACAGTTCAGCGTGGGTCATCTATAAGCATTGTGATTGAAACTTGAACAGTGTGCCTACCATGAGTTTACGTTAGGTGTGCTCGCTAGCGACTGCGTAAAAAATGACATTTAAATGTATGACATATTGTGCAGCGCCTCTAGCGGCTACTTTCAAGAAATAAAATCTTCATAGAATTTTTTGACGTATTCGCTAGCGAGCTCACCTAACGTAAACTCATGGTAGGCACACAGGTGTCCTGACATCACGGCACCGCCTATGTTTAAGTTCCACGCGAAAATAACTAATTACTCAGCCATTTCTTGATGGATTTCAAAAATAACTTCACCAGCTTTTTATTTTTGGTCTATATTTTAATCCCATTCAGTAAAATCTAATGTTTTCAACATCACGAAACTTCTCCATTCTGTTAATTCACAACTACCATACAAAAGACATCAACGCGTTTTGGTATACCTACATTTATGTCCGTAATATTTAAGTGACCCCTATGAAAACAAAATTCCTAATTCCTCATAAGGGTCACTTAAAAATTAGGTATTGATGGTGAAAACGGACATTACCTACCTATATTTAACGTAAATGATTTTGTATTAATTAAAATTTAACTAATCGTCTACTCGCGAAAATTTTGACATAAAAATCTTACAAATAAGAACCTAAAATTGTTCTATTTCCAAATATACCAAAAGTATATTTCCATCGCTTTTTACCCCAATAACTTTGTCATATTCAGCACAACACAATTATTATAAGTACCTAATATTTTTTTTCCAATAAAATAACCTAGTATTTCACCAGTTCCAAGAATACCACCTGTTCCCGCCCTTTGCCCAACACTGTCGGATGTCGGCTCGTTTGCGCAAAAGTAAAAGTCTTAAGGCCAGTGTGCCACGGTCGGGAGGGGAATGAACTCAAGCGCACTACCAGAGTAATACAAATGAGTAGGTCATCTTCATAGAAACGCACCGAGCGCGGTTTGTATGTGAGCGCGCCAACACGTATGCGGCGCGCACGCACACACTGACAAAATTTAGCGGGGATTAGCGGGGAGTTGCAGTATTTACTCTGGTTTAACTACGTCAGTGCCTGAGGTACGAGAGGGTGTTTTAACGTCAAACGTCAGTGAGACTTCAGATTTTCTTCAAATTTGTATACCTACTATAGTTCCAAAATACTGAACTGTCCTATCCATGACATTGACAGTGGGGCGCCACCGTCAATACCGGATCGCTGGTTCTGATTTTTGCCATGTTGGAAACCATATAGTTGAACGATGGTAGCGCCCCCCTGTCATTGAGTTTGGTGGGACAGTTCAGCGTGTGTCATCTATATGTCATAATATGTCAATGTCACCCCTGCTCCCCGCTAATCCCCGCTAAATTTTGTCAGTGTGTGCGTGCGCGCCGCATACGTATTGGCGCGCTCACATACAAACCACGCTCGGGCGTTTCTATGAAGATGACCTACTCATTTGTATTTACTCTGGCACTACGCACTATGCATAGTGCGGGATTAATGAATCCTAGCGCTCGTATTCACAAACTTTACTATGAGGTATCATAGCACGGACGCACAGGGTGACACACGAACCAATCACAGAGCTCTATTCAACGCTGTGCGTTCGATTTGCTGCTTCACTTAAACAAGCAACGTTTGTGAGAGAGAACTGCTCCTGAATTCATAATCTTACTTCTTACTAATATAATAAATGCGAAAGTGTGGATAGGTAGCTACTAATTGTTACTCTTTCATGCAAAATCTAATGAACGAGTTTTAATAAAACTTTATAGTATTGTTGTTTATACATCAGTATATCAGATATAAATTATCTATGGCCGAAGGTGGAAGCGAGCTTCACCCGGAATCCTCAACGACGGAGGAACTGGCTATCTTACCTCTAACTGCCGGAACACAACAATGCTGTTAACATTGTTGTCATGGCGACAGACTTAGGTAAGATGTTGGTACCAACCAAACCAAACAGAAAAATCTGCCCCCACTGGGAATCGAAGCAGGGACCTCTGCGTCTGAAGCAGATGGTCTTACCACTAGACCACAGAGGCGGTTAACGGTTGTTTGATATGTGTAATGTGTATGTTATAATTATTTTAATATAAATATTACAATCTTATATTACAATAATATAATAAAATCTATAGCAATAAAGAAAAGATGATTTGATAGGTTATTTGCTAACATTAAATGTAATTTCAAATTGGCAATGTGAGCGCTTTGGATATAAATCTGTAAGCTCACTTGCATTTAATTAAATAAATAAAGAAATAAATAAATAGGTTATTTAATCTCCACTGCAGGAGTACAATAGATGTTACGTGCACATAAATACCCAAAGGCTTCTTCACTAGATAAAAGCCTTTTCTAAAGCACTTGATTGATTGCA